TGTTGAGAATCAGGGATAGAGTTTTCCATTCTAAGCTTGATTTAATTGATGTGAATAAAACTGTAACATTGAAAGATTTCACAAACTCGTCGTTGTTGATTTAAATATCCTTAATCTGATCTAGGAAATGTATGGGTAGTTAGATTGTGTGAATCCACTAAACGTTTCAATATTCGTGAAGTTTCTCGTGACAAATCATTATCTTGTGGTTCCGAGGATCGCTACAACTGAACGTAGTGGGATGCTTGGTTTGTTTATTCTCGGCCTACTGTAGAATCGACGGAATACTCGTCTATCCAGTTTTATTCTTCACTGATTTCGTTCTCATCAGCTGCTTTCAACTTGAGATATTTAAAATAATAATTTCATAAGAGTTTACATCATTTAGAAGAGAGAGTTTGGTTGGAAGTTATATTGAAGACATATTCGTACAGTATAGCAAGGGTGTAAATAAAATTAATAGACTGAATATTGTAAATATAGAGCTTGTGTGAAAGAACACTCTACAACATCGATTGTGATAAGAGTTAAAAAGGTTAGAAACAAGTGATTGCATAATGAGTCAACATTGATATGTATAAAATGAGTAGAACTCAGTTAATAAAATAAGATTACTTACTTACTTATGCATGATACTACCAATGCAGCATAGAAATCTGGAAGATAGTTGAAATAAAACTCAATGATGCAATAAATGCAAGAAAGAGTTAAAGAAAGAAGTTTAAGATTCAACGACGGAATATTTGTCACCAAGGCAAGGAATGATTGATAACCGTCTCCTTATGAACACATAAATCAGGGTTTTGATGTCTGATAGTAACGGCTTCAGCAAAACTTCAGAAGACTGTAATTTGATTGTTTATTAACTGCCATGAAAGTTTGCAAGGTATCGACCTGATATTCTATATCCAAGAGATGTTTGTTGATTGCATTGTTTAGTCTTTCTTTCTTTTGTTTTGGGGCTTTTTGGGATATGCTCAAAAAATTTAAAATATGCTCTTCTTTCTGTTTGGTCAATGTAGCTTCTTTGGCAGGTACATGTAAATTTATAAATGCAGTTGGTGGTAACATGTGTTTACTGGTCACCTTGATAACTCATATAACTTAGATTTTAATGAAAATTCTACAACTTACTTACTTACGCCTGTTACTCTTCGTGGGGAGCATAGGCCGCCTACCAGCAGACGCCATCTAACCCTATCCTGGGCAATCTTTTCCAGCTCTTTCCAGTTGTTATTTATCCTTTTCATATTTGCTTCTATTTACCGATGCCAGCTGGCTCAGTGGTCTAGAGTTCAGGCGTCCGTGCACAAAATTGAAGGTCCTAGTTTCGAATCTCGTGAGGCGATATCGTGGATACTCACTGACGAGATACGAGGACGAAACGGTCATCCAGTGCTTTCAAAATTCAACAAGCTACATCAAAATTATTACTGAATTAATCTTATAACATATTACGAGATAACCACGTTACAATTACTGCATATAATACATGACAGTAAAACATATTATTAATAGTCAGTGATTTGTGTTCATGTACACTACGACTATAAACCATCCAGCTCAAAGAACAAAACTCCATCAAAATCATTCACCTGAGCTACATATCTTTTCCACACTACTAACTAGTAGTAAGTAGTACTTTTTGAATTGCAGTAATTCTCGTTCAATTTACTGAAAATAACCGGTTTCCTGTACAGAGAGCGAATTATTAAATTGTTTATTTATTTCGAGTCATTTAAAATTCATATTGCTTATTCAGGGAGTAGTATAAACTTTGATAAAAAAAATAACTGAGAATGAATTAATTTTAAAATGAATAAGGCATATTAGAGCATCTTGTCCTACATGGTTCACGGAAAACAGCAACAACACACGAGCATTCAGAAAAAATAGTTTTAAAAATGGAAGGAATCCAATGGCGGATCAAATGTGAAGCTCCATGTTAGTAACAAAACACAATTCTAAAATTAGAAAAACGTATATGGTAGTCGGCGAGATCCTCATGTGAAACTTCGTTTTTCAGTTAAGTAACTTATAATTATGATGATGTATTGTCCATTGAGTTAGATGGCTTTCCATGGAGCTTTGATTGTTCTTCTGAACAGCATCATCATTTCGAATTTCAAGAAGAAGTGAAGGGTTTAAATTTCTCCACATATAAACCACAGCTTATCCTGCAGATCTCGATCTCGATTGGTTATTATTGACCTTTAACTTGTCACTGTCCACTTCCTTGTTTTGATTGCATATCTCATTGATTTGATTCTTGGTCTTATATTTCCAGTACAGAAGTCAACAAACGGATCATCCTACCATAAGTAAAGGAAATATCAGAAATTACAACGAGATTGTCGAAGCTTTTTAGGAATAGGTGTATCACACAAACCAACAAAACCACTACAATCAACCCTATGCAAACCAAAGGATAAAATAACAAAAAATGCCAAACATTATATACAAAATAAATAATTTCAACTGTGAAAACACTACACCTTCTTCATCTTTGCCAACACGAACACCAGTTAACGGTAAAACGCCATGACATATCCTCTCTTATATCAAGGCATGTGGACATCTGTGGACATATATCTGACTGGAAAAACGTTGACATCCTGCATAGAGGGAATTCGAAAAACATCAAAGAATTTTTAGAAACTTGGCATTCAAGTCAATCAGCAAACGACAAGCACATTGAAATCGATCCAATTTATCAACCAATCAGAAGAATTATGGACAAATATATGACCAAGAATCAAATCAATGGGATATGTAATCGAAACAAGGAAATGGACAGTGACAAGTTAAAGGTCAACAATAACCAATCGAGAACGAGATCTGCAGGATAAGCTGCGATTTATATGTGGAGAAATTTAAACCCTTCACTTCTTCTTGAAATTCGAACTGATGATGCTGTTCAGAAGAACAATCAAAGCCCCATGGCAAACCATCTGATTCAGAGAACAAACCATCATCAAAAACTAGGACATTTTATGTAAGGGAATAGACATTTAAGGAGTGAATTTACGAAACATGAGAAATATATAATTCATAGAGTGAATATTGTAATTATGAATGTCGTTAAGTTAATATGGAGCTTTGTGATGCGCAATTAAGTGATGCAATTATAAATGATCTTTGTAATAAGAACAATTCTAATGACTGTAATTTAATGTAAATTAGAAATATTTTATAAACGTAAGAATGAGAACTGTAAAAGTGAGAGTACAGATATGTAAAGAAAACTCGACTAGAAACCGGGATAATGGTAAAGAAATAGATCTTACAAATCTTTTTTTGCACGTAAACTCATGCATAGCATTATACATAACCAGTGCTTCTGTAATGTAAGGTAGGTCAAGTCGTAAACATCTTGGTATATCTAACTGCATTTTGTAAATGATGTCAAGTCATGAGTCCGAGGTTGACCAACCTGTTGCCACCACAGATTGAAGAATCGATAATGTAATTTACATATTTTGACTATATATAATTCACAGGGGTAGATGGTCTCGAATGTGAAGAAAAAGTGGCTTCGATGAATAACGTAATTTGGTGCATTAAAGGTCTATCACAATATAACTTTTTAGTGCATCACGAACAATATCTCCCCTAAAAATTGAATTCTATAAATATCAAAGACTATCCACTTTCTAAAAATGGACAGTCCTGTGAACAAATTTTACGATATAGTGAGTGTAATGAATAAATGGGATTTCGTCTTCTAGTTATTAGGAACCAAATGTGAAAATTTATTAGTTGTCTATTCCATTTGTTCTTTATAACTGATCCATCATTTCTTTCAATAGGTAAGATATCAAAGATATGGAGTTTTGAATTACATTCTTATTCCATCGTATGTTTAAACGATGGATGTGAATTATTATGAAAGTTGAGGATATCTTGAATAGTATACGTCTCACCACATATAATGATAGCGACATTCTTTGAAATGATACTGTAAATCGTTAAAGAGATCTCAAAGGTGATAAGATCTTTATGAGAAGTCTCTTTCTAGTTCATTTATAAATAAGTGTATTGTACCTATACAGTTTAGATTATGATATTCAATAGATTTGAGGTTTGGAGTCGAATTATTGCAATGAAGATTTTTCAAAAAGATTTCTGGATACTCATGCAAACTCGACCACCACATCAAAGTATCAGCAAAGGTCAGGACTTGAATAGTTGGGCTCAAAGTTAATAACATGAAACACCTTATTTTCTACTATTTTTTTCGTATTACGGAGACCAAACATATTGGCAGATAAACCTTTGATCTTTTCTCAATACTTTTACAAAGGAAAATTACAAAACTATTCTTTAGAAAGCTGAACAACACAACATGTTGAACTCTTGTTATTCGTATACATAAGTGATCATTACAAGATCATGTTCTCACTCCACTGGTCACTGCTTCTCACTAGAACTCTAGGATACACCTCTTGAAGCCAGTCATTAGTTAGCATATGTTGATTAATATCAGGAGGAGTTTTGTGGACATTATTAATGAGAAGCAGTGACCAATAGAGTTCAACCAGGTCTGTTGTGAGATAGGAACTCACTGAAGACAATAGTGAATCTTTCTCCTAATTTCGTAAAGTGTTTGAAGTTAGACACCGTTGGATATCATTTTAGTGGTCTAGAGGTTAAGCGATCGAGCGTGAGACTGATAAGTTCTGTGTCCGAATCTCACCGAGGAGTCCCATAATAAAACGAAAAGACGGTCCAGTGCTTCCAGGTTTTCCATGATGGTCTAGCTTCAGTTGACTCATGATCTCAAGTATTAAAATTACTATAATATTTATGAAACCCCATCTGATATTATTCAATTAAAGAGTAGAATAAACCAATTACAATTACCTATTAATTATAGTAATGTTGATGTCCTTATTAATTTAGTAACACACGTGACTAAACATAGAAATTGACTTTGAGTTTTTTTCATTTTATCACATATTAAAAGTGTCAGTTTTGTAGTTAAGTAATAAAATAAACAATTAAAACTACTATTATATACATAGATGAATAGTGACTAGCAATGTACCGTTCATCTTTACCTCAGTAATACTTGTGAATTAAAGCTAATATATGAAAGCAATACATACAGTCAATAAGAGATTGATCAATTGCAGTCCTAAACGTTCATCGGTAGATTCAAGTAAACAGTAATACTAAATGAATTTAAACTAAAACTACCATTCATTTTAATTTTTTTTTTTTTTTTCATATTGTGAATACATTTTGACAAGTAATAAACATTTGCTATACAAGTATTCCTTACTACATTGTCATTTTTAACCTAAAACACAAAGAGAGAGAGAGAGAGAAAGAGAAAGAAATGGAAATTTCTTAGACGTATTACTGTATAACCTTAATATTGATGTGTCTTCCCTACAAATGAATCGATATTGTACTACACATGATTGTTGAATGGTAAGTAAAGATACATTAACTATATATAGTAAATACTATGTAAAAGGGGTTGAAATATCAATTTTTTTTTCTTCATTCAAATTCAGTTGTTATTTTATTGAATCTGTAAAGAAACAGAAGAAGAAGAAGAAGAAGAAGAATGTGCTCTTTCTGAAATGTCACTTGGAATAATGAAGAATATGAATTACTATCTAATAACTAGTTTTCTATTATTGAATAATGGTTTATCATTTAAAACAAATACTATTGATAATGTCAACAATATTCATCTACAATCATCAATAGAAAATACCATGATTAATAATAATAATAATAATAATAATAATAATTCTAATCTTGTTCATACTGATTTACATAATGATAAAACAATAACATGTTTATCGGATAATCCAATTGTTCATACATCTGTTGGAATCTATTGTGGATTACGTGAAATAGTTCATTGGCCTAATGGACCAGCATCAATGGTTGATGTTTATTATGGTAATTTTATCAATTAAATTGTATAATCTTTTGTTTAATTAGGTTTAATAAAATGTTATTAAGATAATAATTGTTATCATTTGTGACCTGTATGCCTTGTTAATGTATAACGTAATGATACCGTTAATCACAGAACAGTAATTTGTCAATCGGACCAATAACGCATAAGACATGTACGAACAGCCTAGAGTTCATATCGGTCCTACTTCCCGCTTAACCCAGCCTGTTAAGACCACAACACCAATCTCTGCGATACAAATCTTGTATTTCAAACATACTGGGTTTATATAACAACCAGACAGACCACATCGTACCATAAAATAGGGAACAACATTTGTACACGATTTAGCCAAATGTGGCTGTGGATCAGGGACATAGTAGTTGATAAATAGGTCATAAGTCAATAAGGGTAAATCGTATAACAATAGTTCATAAATCAAGATAAAGCTCATAATAAGAGAGATATGAATAGTTTAGTTATTTAATAACTATACGATAAAAATATACGCATTGTATCGGTCCATAATGGATCCCAAAAGTTACCATTTATTATTCTCATCGGGATACAACGATAGTGTACACTTTTTCATAATAATCACAATGTATGTAACCATTTGTTAGATGAAATTTGTATTACAACATTAACATTATAGTCCTCTATCTATCTAACTGTTATAATCAAATGATTTTAAATGAAAGCAATTTATGACAATAAATCTGATACGATTATATCAATTAAATTTGACATATTATTCAACTCATAATGACTTAGTAACTAAGTGAATAATGCGATGACATTTGAAGCGAATGGTACAGGGTTGGAATCCCAGAATGAACATCGACTCTGAGATACAGGTATATCCAGCTGACGAGTCTCCAATCAGACGAAATGTGCGTCAAACTGGATTCCACTGTTAGCTATTATCCATCTTTGCTTATAATTCATTAATTCTGATCTCATCAACTTACACTTTAATTAAGTGATATAATTAGAATAATTAGTGTCTATGATAAATTAAAAAAAGTGTAGTGTGAGATAAAGTTTATGAGAGTTATGTAATAGATTTGTCAAATACATTTTGAACTAAAATATCGAAGTCACTTCTTCGAAGTGTTAAAAACAAACAAAAATTAAGCAACGTGTTGAAATCACTAAATGACAGGAACAGGTAACCTAGATATTCAAACAGGCCGCCACATATTCAAGATAAATCTCATCATTTATTGACATTAAATGGAAATCCTATAAAGATCAAAAGTTTATAGGTAACTTTTTCGTTAGAATTAAATGCTCCTAAGAAATTGAAACTTTTACAATACCGTATAGAATTGAATCCAAAAACTATCTTTTTTAATTAATGCGATGATCAGATAAACGGTACCGTGAAACTTGGTTATTATCAGAAAGGGTTTTTTGTGTGGATATTATAGTAATTTCAATAGTTGAGATCATGAGTTAATTGAAGCTAGACCACCATGGCAAACCTGGAAGCATTGGACAGCCGTTTATATCTATTGTGGTTAAGCGCTCGCGTGCGACTGATAGGTCCTAAGTTCGAATCTCGCGATGCGGGGTCATGGGTGCACACTAATGAGGAGTCCTACAATAGGACGAAACGGCCATCCAGGGCTTCCAGGTTTCCCATGGTGATCTAGCTTCAATTAACTCATGATCTCAATTATTAAAACTTGGTTATATTGAATTCAATTTGAACAATATAGACCCCTTGACATATTATGACATATAACTTTGATATAATTCCAGATTTCATAATTATATTAATAATGTATTTACAAGTACAGTTGTAAACATCTGTCAAACATTTACTTTATATTATGAAGAGTAAATTTTAAGGTAATTTACAGACATCTAATTACTTTGTCAACACTTTTCATTGTTCTAAATCTGATAATTGTAACTAAACAAAAACCTCCGCCCCCCCTCACGTTTATTGTTAAACAATAAATAAATTCTATGATATTTATTAATATTTAATCAGTGTCCCAATTTGAAAAAAAAAATTTGGTTTCTAGGTATGGTGTATCATCAATGATCTAAATAATAAACAGACATTGCAAATAAGGAATATCATACTTGATGAACAAGTTAGTAACTATTTGGGTTCAGTAGCTTAGCAGAAAACATGTTGACGTTAAAGTGATATTTACTAGATTCAAGTCTTATTATGAACATAAATACTGGAAACAAGTGCATCCACCTTCTAAGTCTTAAATGGAAAGATACAGATATCTCCAGAATTTCACTGGTAGCTAAAATATAAAGAAAAGTCTGTTACTTTTTGTAACTACAAGCAATATCAAGGCATAAGCTCACAGAGTATTGAATCACGTAGTACACATGAGAAGAAATAAGCACTTCAGAGTAGGAGTCTCTATACTAAGACGTAAATGAACGTCCAGTGCTTCCAGGTTTTCCATGGTGGTTGATTTATGAACTCAACTTCTAAATTATTTCATATTTAAAATAATGATAAGTTAAAAGATGTAAAGAAATTTTGTATCATATCAAAATGAAGCAAACTACATTTTCAGCAGTTCGTGTTTAATGATTTTACAGTTTTTATGGTTTTTTGATAAAATCAGATTAAGATTTGTGTAGTAAGGATAGAAGACCTACAGCCTATTGTATTCCTTTTTTATTATGCTTTTGTGAATGTCTAATCTACGCTTGAATGCGTCAATTGAAGCTGCGGATACCACTGTTTCGATTAACAGGTTTCAAGAATTGATGACTCAATGTGAAAATATGTATGCCACCGGTATTTTGTTCGTTCTTGGCTTTTCTAATCGCCCGATGTATCCTTTGAGATGTCCTGATCTTGTGGGAGGAAAAGAGAGGATATATTAGGTCCAAAATCATTTCTCAGTATTCCATACGTCAAAATCACATCTCCCCTTAGTCTATGATAGGACAGATTAAAGAGGTTTTGCTTTTCAAGCCGCTTCTTGTATATTGTACATCGGTATTCTGGAATTGGACGGGTAGCTGTTCTCTGCACATTTTCCAGGATATATGAGTGACCTTTTAAACAGGGGCTTGCAACCTGAACACAGTTCTCAAGCTTAGTTCTCACTAAGGTTATGTATACTGTAGTGAATATGGTAGTATCTAACTTATTAATTGTTCGTTTTAAAGCCCAGAGGGTTATAAATGCCTAGCTGCGACCAGCAACGTGCCGTCGTCCCAAGATCATGACTCACTGTCATCACAAGATCCTTGTGAAACAGGACCACAAGTACAGGTACTTCCCTTATGCTGTATCTATTAACCTTTGTATCCCCAAAATTCATGTAGACACACTTTGTTGCGTTGATAGGCATCAGCCGTTCTTTAGACCAGTAAAATCACTCTTTAACATTGAAAAAAACTGACATGCACCATGTAATTGAACAATAAATAAATAACTTTTTCCATATTGTTTTAATTCTTTTACAAAGGTATACGTTATGCTCAATCACCTACTGGTTCATTACGTTTTAAAAAACCTGTAGAACCTATTCCTGAACCAAAGAAAATTTTTATGGCTGATAAATTACCTTCTACTTGTCCACAACCAAAAGATACAATGTTTCAAGTAAGTTAATTCACAATATTGTAATTCTTCTCTTTAAAATATTAACAATTTAATCACAATCTATACACTTTATACATTGTATTTTGAAGGCGGGGGAGCGAGGAATGGGAATTTTATCAACCTAAAAAACAAATAAATATTTTAATTTACATAGTTGAGATCATGAATCAACTAAAGCTAAACCACTATGGAAAACCAGGAAGCACTGGACAGCCGTCCCATCTTATTGTAGAACTTCTCTACAGTGCGCGTGCACAATCCCGCCTCGCGAGATTCAAACTCAGGAACTATCAGTCGCGCCTATGAATGCTTAACTTCTAGACCGCTGAGCCGGCCGGTATCCAACACTGTTACTGTCTAACTTCAACTAATCCATTGTAGTCTAGCTTCGATTAACTCATGATCTCAACTATTAAAATTACAAAACCCCTTCTGATTTTAATTTGCATTAAGTTTAGTTAAGAACTTTCATTTTCACAGTCAAGTTAATCTAATGAATATCCATAGTAGTTGGGCAGTAAATGAAAGAACACCAAAACTTTGAGATTTTGTGTTTAACCTTCCCCCACCCCAGAAAAAACACATTGAAAATAGTGGTATGTTGTGGCAAGCCCATTTGGCTACTGTATCATTTATCTAGTCATTGTAACTCAGACTCAATTCACTATGTTAATTTCGGTGTGTATGATCGAATGTATGTCTGTACATTAACTCTTAAGCTATCTTCCTATTGGTTTCAATGTGCAGATAATCGATAATTTATCCACACCCGATTAACCCTCAAATATATATGGATTTTTAACAGACTCACTCACTCTGTTTTATCGTGTGCTTGCTCACCGTACGCTTGTAGATTATTATTATTCATTAACAATAAACTATCTCTATAACTGGTATTCAGGCTTTTTAATAATCTCGAGTATATTCGCAATTCTACTAGGAGATTAAGCCTACCAAAATTACTCAGTTACAGGATATTATTAATTGGAGTCAGATATTGAGGATATTAGCCTCAACAATGTACTAAATGGGTATCATTTTATTTTCATGAAAGAATTATATTGTTCTGTATTATGTAATCAACAATATTTATATGCCTGGGATCTGACTCCAATTCGATAGTATGAATGTTTCCTGTCGAAATGTATATCCTGACTATTCTTGTACATAATTATCGACTTAGATCGTGTTAGTAAATAATAGAATTATATAAACCAAATACGCGAATGAATATTTCATGCACACATTGATTTGAACAGGCAATCAGGGAATGAAGAAAAGAGAAGTGAGCGAAGCGAAATGACGCGTAGTGGAAAAGGCGTGTGAACCAACTCAACATTTATAATCAGACAAAATTAAGCTACAGACATGTGATAAGTAGAATAAGAAGCATATGCACATATACACCCATATAAAAGCAGTCAATGTTGATAAGTGAATAATTAACAAGATCAAAACGTGACTCAGGTATAATGGATAAAACTGGCCTGTCCAGAAGCTAGAATAAAGTATATGGGCTTAACATACCAACCGACACTACAGGTATATGTAAAGTATTAGGAATACACGATATTCTACTTTATTCAGTGTCAAATGCTGAATGTTACATCAAATATCTTCTATAATATATATAATCAAGGAAATTGATTGTTTGGGTCAGATTCATTGATTATTAAGTCATGATCATGATCAGTGTCGTTTACTTAGCTCTTAATCTCTATAGGATTCTACCAGTCAAGTTGCTATATGGTCATTAGATCATTTGACTAGACATCTTGCACACGATATTGAGATATCAGGTGATTAGAGATGGTCGATCGAATGCATTAGGTCTTCATTCACCCTAAGATTTCAGGTTTGTTCTCAAACTAGTATCATTTAGCAAAAAACCTAAACCTATGGTTTGTCGCTGACTATCTTTGACCATTTAACAACAGATTTAAATCTCATATGGCTAGATGAAAATAATGACTTTAATAATACTATTGCTAGTATATCCATAAACAAAATATCATTGTCCAGTGAATAAGTACTATATATTAAAAACCATTATGAGAAATGAAATTTGGCTAAATTCAGATGGCCATTATCAATGTATGACTTGTATTCGGCGGCCTGCTTGAGCATCTGGGCTACCTGTTCCTGCCATCGAGATATTTCAACAAGTTATCTATTTTTGTTTGTTTTAATATATCATTATGTTTATTAATCGCATAACCTATTCTGCTGCGTTTCTGAAAAGTGTACAACCTTTCGTTGTCAAAGTTACAAACAACTCAATAAGAGACAATGTGGTTGCTGGCAATATACAACCAAAAGAATGCATATTATTCAGATGTTCATTTAGTGAACTGCTAACATCTAACTGGCGATCACTCAATATTTATCGCCAGGACCGACTAAGAAGAAAGAAACGGAAACTTGTTGAAATACTTTATGCTGAGAATTCTATATTGTACCAAAAATATAATATTGAATAAAGCTGATAATAATAATAATAATAATAATAATAATGATATCTTTATGTATTGGTGATAGTTTTTCTGGTTAACGTTTTTTAAGCGAGTTAGTTTTCTATTGGATGGGGTCGCTAACCCCATGCCCAACCCTCTTCCTTTAACCGTGCTTAGAACCGGCAGTAACCCCAGAGGGGCTCCAGACGGAGTTATCGGTAAGTTACCACACCAAACATCAGTATTGAGAAATAGAAAATCACTTAAGTGAGAAATAAAGGAATACAATTAGTTTTATATTCAATAGTAAATTAAATATGAAGTATTCAGTTCGCAAGAAATAAATGAATTTAAAGAACGTAATGGTAAGAATGATTTAGAAGATATAGAATGAATAGAATCGTGTCACCTAGACTTGCTTCCCTCAAAACCATCCACTGTCATGAATCATTGATTACGACTATTGAATATGCTCAAACCAGATAGTCTTCATATATCTATATGTCTCAGATCAGGAGTTAGTGGATTCATGGCTTGATGTTAGATCTTGAACAACCTCCTCTTGGGTTCTTAAACGTGGTCTTATCATAATCAATCATAATAACAATAAACCTTCAAAAAACATCTCATTCAAGTTAAATGGCACAACCTATTTAAAAGTGGTTCTAAGGAACTAATAATAGCCAATGAAAAGATATCTCTCATCGAGTAATTTGCTGACTAATCTTCTAACCATATACGTAAAAATAGAACTTCTGAGAAATAGAAGTCTTTAATTCCAACATGTCTGATAGACATAAAAATGGACATATCTCCAAGGTAACATGTCAGGTAATTTTAGAAACTAGGTAGAAAATTGGAAAGTAAGCTAGTATAATTGTATCCATTCTTGATTTTAGAATTCAGCGGCAGCTAGAATGTGGGTACCAAATACACCAATGTCAGAAGATTGTCTTTTCTTAAATATTTGGGTACCTTTAAAAGAATCGAATAGTAGCCATTCGAATTCAAAAGAAAAACTTGCAGTTATGGTGAGTTATGTACAATACCTTATGTATAGTGTTATCAAATATTCACTTAGTCAATTGTTTCATTCACCTTAAACTTACTTTACAATGAGGCACCAGATAGATATGCGCCACATAAATCATTCGATTTATGTGAGGGCAGGGATACTGCTCGTGTGTCCAAACCGAAGCAAGTGGTTTTCTTACGATGACACACCCGGAGCCTTTGACCTAAAGCTCCAGTCCTCAGAGTAGTGGAGAAACGCAAGGAGATGCAGTCCCATGGTAGCCGGTGACTAACAATAGGTTCATACTCCATTTGTTCCTTCAGGATCCTGAAGCCAATGTTCATCATAGGTTGCGAATCAGGGTTTTCCAATTCCCCAGGTGAACTCCCCTTGTCCACCAACCCAGGCTCCAGATATTCGGTTTTCGTCCTGTCGCTTTCGTAAACAACACTCCCGCCGCGAGAACGCAATAATAATAATAATGTAATAACTACATTTATTTCTAAATCAATTAGACGATTTGGACTTCGCAGATGACCTAGCCCTCTTATCGCGTACACACGAACAGATGCAGATAAAGACACCCAATGTAGCAGCAGTATCTGCATCAGTAGGCTTCAGCATACACAAAGGGAAAACCAAGGTCCTCAAATTCAAAGCGGAAAACAGCAATCCAATCACTCTTGATGGCGAAACTCTGGAAGATGTAGATTCCTTCACATACCTGGGAAGCGTCATCGATGAACAAAGAGTATCAGATGCAGACGTAAAGGCGAAGATCGGCAAAGCAAGGGTCACATTCCTACAATTGAAGAACATATGGAACTCAAAACAACTTTCAACCAATATCAAAGTGAGGATCTTCAATACGAACGTCAAGGCAGTTCTACTGTATGGAGCTGAAACTTGGAGAACTACAACAACCACAATCAAGAAGGTAAAAGTATTTATAAATAACTGTCTACGCAAGATACTCAACATCCATTGGCCGGATACCATCAGCAATAGCCTTCTGTGGGAGAGAACAAACCAACTTCCAGCTGAAGAAGAAATTAGGAAAAGACGATGGAAATGGATAGGACATACATTACGCAAATCGTCAAACTGCATCACGAGGCAAGCCCTAACTTGGAATCCTGAAAGGAAGCGAAAAAGAGGAAGGCCAAAGAACACATTGCGTCGGATAATAGAAGCAGATATGAAAACGTTGAATCACAACTGGACGGAGCTAGAAAGGATTGCTCAGGACAGGGTTGGATGGAGAATGCTGGTGAGCGGCATATGCTCTTTCACGAGGAGCAACAGGCGTCAGTAAGTAAGTAAGTAAGTAAGTAAGTAAGTACATTTATTTCTAATTTGCTTACGGCATCACCCACTTTCTGTTTATACATACATCTTCAAATGACCTTACATATTCTTATCCACAAATACACAAAATATCATTTATCAACATCCAATTATTTAGTATTATTTTGTATATCGATATTGGTCTACCAGGGTGCTTGGTACCTGTGCCACACGATTGAATTGTACTATCTAGTTTGTAGCGTTCAGGCTTATATGGTGACTGGTTCGCCTGTGAAGCGGGGTTGAGCTGTACTGTTTGAGCTGTCACGTGAAAGTCTGGATGGTGACCGGTTCTTCTAAAAACCAGTGTAAAATTGTTATATAACTGTGAACTATGTATCGATATGAATATAGTTGTAAGCTTCTCAACAGAACCCACGAACCATACTGATTTTGTATAATTCTGTATCAATCATTGTATTTGTCTTTTCTTCGGAAGAAAAGTACTTTTAGTTGTTAAATACTACATAAGGTTTTCATATTTTTCCTTATATGTGCTAAACAAATTACTCATGTGACCGTCATTATAATAGTTTATGTCAAATAGTTAATCAGTCAATGGTATAATGTGGCAGAACGATACATAATCTCCAATCCTTTCCTTAATTATCACAAATGCAAGCAATACTCATACAATTAATTCAAATAATTTCTGATAACTAAACATTCGAATACAGAGATATAATTCTGATTGATCATATTTTGAATCATGATTTGTACTAATGTGATGTGTGTTACTGATTTCGACAGCTATAAGTAGTATGTATCATCAATCAAAATTGAAATGCCTGGAGGCAGAAGGTTATGAAGAATAAATAAACGAGAATGAGAAAAAAGGATGATTGGTGTGGTTCTCACATTTTACTAAGACCTTCTGTAATTCCATGTTGAAATATGTTCGATTGTAATGAGTAGTATAAGAAACCAAAACTATGCATCAGCAGATTCATAGATATTTGTTTTACCATAATGTATTTTAAAAAATCTTCAGTAGGCGAGTGTTTTGTAATTACTTGTCTGAAAACTTTTTCCTCTAAAACAGTTATGGATATACGGTGGTAGCTTTTATATGGGAACAGCAACATTGAGTGTATATGATGCGAGATTTTTAGCTGCTAGACAAAATATTATTGTTGCATCAATGAATTATCGTTTGGGTTCATTTGGTTTCCTTTATATGAATACAGAAGAAGTAAGTTTATTTATTTATTTATTTAAACACATAAACATTGGTACAAACGGGCACTAAATAGACATGCGCCACACAGTCAATTGAATTGTATGTGGGCTGTGATACTACCCGGCTGTCCAAACCGAAACAGGTGATTTTCTTAGGGGGAGACAGCCGGAATCTTCGACCCAAAGGTCTAATCCACAAGGCAGTGGTGAAACGTCAGGAGATGTAGTCCCATGGTAGCTGGTGACCAACAAATAGGTTCATACGCTATTTATTCCCTTAGGATCCTGAAGACATTAACATTCGTGTCTTTGTTCTATCAGATTTAAAAAAGAATATAGTTTGATAGAAAGAAAGTCATACACTTTTAGTAATCGAAGACATATCATAATAAAATTACTTATTTGATATTCGTTTTGACCCTAAATTAACCCCTAATAACTCATAGAAGAAACCATAAATTGCAGCTGTAATTCTTTTTTAATGAGAATGTCAAAACTTACAAACATAATAAGCAAAGATGGATAGTGGCTAGCAGTGGAATCCAGGACGCGCGTTCGTCCTGTTTGGGACTCGTCAGCTGGATGTACCTGCATCTCAGAGTTGATGTTCACTCTGGGACTCGAACTCAGTACCGTTCGCTTCAAACGCCATCGCGTTATCCACTTAGCTACTGAGTCCTGATAGCCACTTGCTTGTGCAATGGGTTGAAGTTTAATTCACTTGATATTGTTTTATTTGAATCTTCCCATTGATGTTTTTGGACTGAAATTGATCAGTCTCTTATTGGCATATGTGCATACTGTGCGTATGCCTCGATATTGCCTTAATTTACAAGCATTATAAGCAAAGATGGATAGTGGCTAGCAGTGGAATCCAGGACGCGCGTTTCGTCCTGTTTGGGACTCGTCAGCTGGATGTACCTGCATCTCAGAGTTGATGTTCACTCTGGGACTCGAACTCAGTACCGTTCGCTTCAAACGCTATCGCGTTATCCACTTAGCTACTGAGTCCTGATAGCCACTTGCTTGTGCAATGGGTTGAAGTTTAATTCACTTGATATTGTTTTATTTGAATCTTCCCATTGATGTTTTTGGACTGAAATTGATCAGTCTCTTATTGGCATATGTGCATACTGTGCGTATGCCTCGATATTGCCTTAATTTACAAGCATTATAAGCAAAGATGGATAGTGGCTAGCAGTGGAATCCAGGACGCGCGTTTCGTCCTGTTTGGGACTCGTCAGCTGGATGTACCTGCATCTCAGAGTTGATGTTCACTCTGGGACTCGAACTCAGTACCGTTCGCTTCAAACGCCATCGCGTTATCCACTTAGCTACTGAGTCCTGATAGCCACTTGCTTGTGCAATGGGTTGAAGTTTAATTCACTTGATATTGTTTTATTTGAATCTTCCCATTGATGTTTTTGGACTGAAATTGATCAGTCTCTTATTGGCATATGTGCATACTGTGCGTATGCCTCGATATTGCCTTAATTTACAAGCATTATAAGCAAAGATGGATAGTGGCTAGCAGTGGAATCCAGGACGCGCGTTTCGTCCTGTTTGGGACTCGTCAGCTGGATGTACCTGCATCTCAGAGTTGATGTTCACTCTGGGACTCGAACTCAGTACCGTTCGCTTCAAACGCTATCGCGTTATCCACTTAGCTACTGAGTCCTGATAGCCACTTGCTTGTGCAATGGGTTGAAGTTTAATTCACTTGATATTGTTTTATTTGAATCTTCCCATTGATGTTTTTGGACTGAAATTGATCAGTCTCTTATCGAGGCATACGCACAGTATGCACATATGCCAATAAGAGACTGATCAATTTCAGTCCAAAAACATCAATGGGAAGATTCAAATAAAACAATATCAAGTGAATTGGACTTACAAACATACTTCGGTTTTAATCATCATCTGAGCAATTTTATTTTCAACCTACAGTAGATAGCCAATTAGATAAATTTTTGGGCCTACGTTTAATAATCAGCTATTAGAGTACAAACGAATAATGAAAAATGTTACATTTTGATGTGGTTGAATGGGAACAATTTCAGAAGATCAGTTTTAAAATCCTGATATCATTACAATACTAGGCAGTTGGTTATTTTATCCATTAGAGATATTGCTTAGTAATTATCATCAACATAAAGAAAAGAAAAGATCCTATTAACAATCATGATTAAAAATGTAACATAAAAAATTCAGAACACATTTCTAGCAATATGAGCGGCTTTAACTCACTAAGGGTTAAGTTAATAAAGAAATTCAGTTTATTGATAGCAAAATTTATAGAGTTTATGCAGATCGAATCTTATCGATCAAGTTGCAATGTGGCTACTAGTCCAAGTGACTCGACACTGCGTGCACTATGTTGAGATAAGATAATGGTTGGATGTAGTTAACAGGAAACTCTGAATCTAGGTTTCGTGTTCACATTGATCACCAACCAGTGATCAATCAATTGTAAATACATCTCAGTCGGATAACGGCTCAGATACGGTCCGGATAGCTCAGTGGTAACATCTTTGTTGGTGAAGTTGCGTGACACGGGATCGAGTCCGTCACGGAGCACCAGTTCCCTCAAGATTACTGGTGCACCTTGCTACCGAGGTCTAGGGTTTCTTGTTGACTACCTCCAACCACCATCTTATTTTCAGTATTTATTAAGATTCTTTAAAAGATATTCAGTTCCAGATAATTCGTATTTCACAATGAAAACTAATTATTTTACTCTGAAGTTGTGTACTATTGTTTAAGAATACTTGATACTTTCATTGCAATTCAGTAGGAAATATTTTATTCTTTCTTTACATATAACATGCAATCATAATACATGACTAATATAGGAAGAAAGAAGTTGTCAACTTTCAAATGATCAAGAATAATATCATTCAACGGAATGATTGGAGTTTAGTCAAAAAAAAGTTATAGAAATATTCCTGAATCAAAAGTGACCTAGTGGTTAAGAGCTTGCGCACGAGACTGATAGGTCCTGGGTTTGAATCTCGCGAGGCGGGATAGTGGCTACTGAGGAGTCCAACGATAGGACGAAACGGCCGTCCAGTGCTTTCAGGTTTTCCATGGTGGTTTAGCTTCAATTGTCTCATGATCTCAACCATTGAAAAGTTTATCTGTTTGAATTTAAATTGGGTATTTTAAATCAAATTTACTCTAAAATATACTACTTATTAGATATTGTTATTCATGAATTTTTAAACTTTTTTTCTCATTTTAGGCACCAGGTAATATGGGTCTTTGGGATCAACGTTTAGCTATGAAATGGATTAAAGATCATATTGAAAATTTCGGTGGTGATCCACATCGTATCACTCTTTTTGGTGAATCAGCTGGAGCTGTAAGCGTGAGTACACATGTCGTCAGTCCATGGTCTCATTCATATTATAACAATGCAATAATGCAATCTGGTTCAATTTTTAGCAACTGGGGTCTTGCAACTAGTGAAGTATCACTAAATCAAACACAAAGGTATATTTCATGCATATAATTTCCTTTATTACATTAATGAGAGCAATAACGAAGATTGGTGCAGAGTAATGACTGGATTTATCTCATTTCGTTAGGTTCTCATCAGCTGCTTACAACCTATTTATTATTTATTATTATTATTAGCTTTATTCAATATTATAATTTTGGTACAATATAGAATTCTCAGCGCAAAGTATTTCAACAAGTTTCCGTTTCTTTCTTCTTGGTCGGTCCTGGCGATAAATATTGAGGGATCGCCAGTTAGATGTTAGCACTTCAGTGAATGAACAACTGAATAATGTACATTCTTTTCGTTGTATATTGCCAGCAACCATATTGTCTCTTATTGAGTTTTCTGTAACTTTGACAACGAAAGGTTGTACACTTTTCAGAAACGCAGCAGAATAGGTTATGCGATTAATAAACATAATGATATATTAAAACAAACAAAAATAGATAACTTGTTGAAATATCTAGATGACAGGAACAGGTAGCCCAGAGGCTCAAGCAGGCCGCCCTTGTCGTATAATATTTAAAATCAACGTTAGTACATACATTGACATGTTTACACATAAAAAGGTGGTTAAAGATTAATATGCGTTACGTGATGTAACGAAGATTCCGATAGAGTCAACAAAGTCAGAAAAACATTTTGTTTCGGATAAATAAAGTTTGAGAGGGAAAGTTCCAGAACATTGAAATAGTAATTAGAAATCATGGAGTTAACAAACATTAAATGATTATTTAATGAGGCAACTGAAAATAGATTATGGGGTGGTCAGTATTCAATATAATCCTTAAACTTCGTATACAGTTCGTCTTGATAATCGTCACTAGATAACGCCTCAACGGTATATTAATCAAAAGGCGAATACGAAATATTCATTATGTTTATTACGGGACCACAAACAGATATCCAAAATTACAGATGCGTTAAAGAAGCATAGAAGAATTGTGCCGAAAGGCAAGCAGGCAAGCGAGTAAGTCAGCGAATATGAGTACGAGTAAGCGAGAGAGAGAGAGCAATGAACATGAATATCATGGACATATATATATATATATATATATACAAAGTGAAATGAATGAATCATCGAATCAATTAAGCGGTTAGTATTAAGGCTAGCAGCGTGAATAGATGCGTAGGCAGTAAGCAATGCTCAAGCATACATGTTCATACATTTGCAACAATAATTAAGATACAATGATATATAGATAAGTTGTTGTTGTTGTTGTACGGATGACTCAGTTCGTTAATCAGTTAACGAAATGATTTAACCGAATTAAATGTGAACAAACTCAATTGAACGTCAGTTGCTATAAGATTGATGGTAATAAAGAATGATATGAATTGAGATCAGTCAATTATGAATTAAAGAGAAATGACAATGATGTAATTTAAACTTTCGAAAGAGTTGAAATAATGAATGACGTAATCAATAAAGAAAGGGGGAGGGTAATGTTACCAGTGTAAAGAAAGATTTATTATTGTTTATTTTTAGATACATAGATCTGGTTTCAGACATTTGACTGTGAACACTTCGGCGAATTTCAAGAAATTTGAGTTTGATTGTTTATTAATCGTCTTGAAAGACTTTAGTGTATCGACTTCATGTCCTATGTCAAGGAGATGTCTTACAACGAAACTCCTGAATACTTTTAATCTATTTGATCTTAAACTTTTCGGAATATCTTCTTCGAATTGGACTTAGGCTCTCCTTTCTATTCTATCCATGTAATTGCTTTAGCAAATACATGTAAATGTATACAAACAGTTTTTTTCCTCTCTAAATATTATTATAGGCTTGCAAAAATTCTTGGCTGTGGATATCGATCATCAATGGATCAAATTAAATGTTTACGATCAAAATCAATTAAAGAAATATTAGATGCACATGATACAATGTATGATCCAGCTAGTTATTTCTCTGTACCATTTCCACCTGTATTAGATAATAATTTTTTTCCATATGAGAATAGTCAATCATTTCGTCAATTAAAATATCTTAAACCATCCGGTGCTTTAATGTTTGGTATTAATAAAAATGAAGGTAGTTATTTTCTGTTATATGCATTTGTATCTAATTCAAAATGGATGAAAAATTTAACTGATTTACCAATTACAAATCGTATGGATTATTTAAGATGTCTTCGACAAGTTCTAGATCTTGATGATGATGATCGACCAGAATTTACAGAACCATTAATACGTTATACAGATTTTGAATATCAAACATATCAACAATTGGTAAGTTATATTATCAATATGTAAAGTGATTATATTTTCATGAAGCTTTCTTATCTGAGCTGGATAATTTGGTCGAGGAGCTTTCATCGTTCTTCTGAACGATGTCATCATGTTATCGTTTCCATTTGAGCTACAAATCGTTTACATCATCTCGTAAAATATTTTAATCAATTAAAGATTACTAGTTGAAAATTTTTTTTTAAAAATGTAATGTCAGTTCAACTAGATTTCAATTTCATTTCATTACTTATTTACACCTGTTACTTCCGTGTGGAAACAAAGCCCGTCCACCAGGATTCTTCATCAAACGTTGTCCTGGAAAATCCTTTCCAGTTGTTTCCATTTGCTACTCATCCCTTTGATGTCTAATTCCAATTCTCGACACAGTCCTATTTGGTCTTCCTCATTTCAGTTAACCTTCAGGATTTCAAACTATGGCTTGCTTCATGATACAGTTTAATGGTTACGCAAATGTATGTCGTATCCACTTCCAACAACTTTTCCTAATTCCCTCTTCAGCTGGAAAATGGTTTGTTCTTTCCCACAGTGAGCTGTTGCTAATGGTATCCGACCAACAGACATTGAGTATCTTGCGTAGAGAATTGTTTATAAATCCATATGCCTTTTTGATGAATGTAGTAGTAGTTGTTGAAGTTTCAGCTTGCTACAGTAGAAATGTCTCGACGTTCGTGTTGAAGATCGTGATTTTGATATGGGTTGACAGTTGTTGTAAGTTCCATATATTGTTCAACTGCAGGAATGTCGTTCTTACTTCGCCAATCCTTGCCTTTAAATCTGCATCACAACCTCCTTGTTCATAGATGATGCTGACCATGTCATGTACCGAAAGTTTCCAGCTGTTTCAGAGTTTCTCCATCAAGTGTAATTGTGTAGCTGTTGCATTTGAAGAGGTTGATTTGACCCCGTTGTATGTTGAGGCTTACTGATATAGAGGATTTTGCTGCTACACTGGTTGTCTTGACCCACATTTGTTGGTGTGTATGGGATAAAAGAACTATATTATCTGTGAAGTCTAAATCAGTTAGTTGCATCCAAGCTGTTCATTGTATTCCTTGCTTTGCCTGAGATGTGGTAGTCTTAATAATTTATGGGATCCGCATCCTATAATCGCTATCCGTTCTTCTTTAAATAGCTTTCACGCAACTTCTTATGGTTACGAAGCGTGTTCTTCTTCAATATCAGAGTACAACAGCACCTAGCCGGAACTTAATCTTTTCTGCCTAGATTGGATCCAATGGATTTCACTGATTTCGAGCACCGTCAAATTGCATCTCTTCGTTGCCATAACAATTTGATTGCTCCTCCCGGTCTCCCACGTTGTCTGTACATCTCATCGGCCCCGTGAATTCTGAAGGATTTCGGCTCTCACCATTAGGAGCCATAACTCTTCTGCATCAAGATACTTTTACACAGAGGGCATAGTTTAAATGTTTCGAATGACTTTTTTCTGGTCAGCGTTTCTTGACAAGGTTTTCTATTTAATGTGTTTGCTAATCCCATGCCCGACCCTCCCCCTTTGTTTGTGCATGGGATAGGCAGTATCCGTTTGATGGCTCTGGTCGACCTCATAGTCAAGATAGTTTTGTGTTCTTGAAATTCTAAATTTAAAAAATCACCTACGTTTATCTGAATTTCAGTGTTATTTTGAGAAACCACAGTTATTTCTATATCGCTTTGTTAAATATACAAGCTTTTCGTTTCAACTGATGGAATAACTCTGTGGTGTTATATTTATATCATTTTAAAATTATTACTACTATTTCACCATTCCGATTATGGATACCAATTTTCTATATCCTAACTAATAATCACAATTCGAAATGAAAAAATACAGTGTCTTTATTAGATAGCGTGATTCCGTTCTAGGAGTCAAGGCGAGTAAATGGAAAATTTCAGATTCCTTAATCGGATCAGTCAGACAAGTCGTAAAACCTGTTAAGTATGCACATCAGTTCAATTTGCCATACCCCATCAGCACAGAAAGATGAAAAAGTCAGGACAAATCCCAGAATTGTTGAGGTGGTAACAGTGGAAAGACGAGGTCTAAAAGTTACGATTCGGTAAGAAAATATAAATTAGTAAAATTAAAACACGAAAAAACGACATTTTAAGGGATTCATTGGCTCCGAATTTGAGAAAGGACAAAGATTGGATGTATCTGAGCCATTATGAACGATTATGAACACGATTATGTCTATGAATCTTTGGTAGGCCATACGTATGCAATAAATGAGATCTACGAGGTCTTAAATCATTATAGTTAGGGTAATTAATAATTTTCTTCTCCAATAGCTCCCTGCGTATACTCGTGGTTCGTCTATCTGTTTAGTTAGTTAAGTCTTCGTTATATCTATTAGCCTTGACCCAAAATTGTTGCATAAAGTGGACTTTATTCTAGTAATATAATTGAATGTGTGCATTAGTACAACATCTGAGCCCTCGACTGGTCGTAATATCATTCACACACTGACCAGAACTTACCCTGTAGCCAAGCTGATTATCTTGTATAAAACAATATGTTCTGTACTCCAAACAAAGATTGATAAGTGCCCCTTCCATGTTACCGCTAATTGTGTTTACAAACTTACATGTACCTGCCAAACCAGTTACATTGATAGAACAGTAGGAAGGGCCCACGTTTGATTTCAAGAACATATCCCAAAAAGGTCTCAGGTCAATGTAATTCAGGGCTCTTAAACAGTGCTATCGCAAAACATCTCTGTACACAGGATATCTGGTTGACAGACAGCACCACCAATCGACATTCGAGTTCCGTTCTTCTTAAATTCTCCGAAGCCATAGCCGTCAAACGACTTACGGTGAACTTATGTGTCCAAAAAGAAACAGTTACAAATCTATCCTTACCATATAGACTTCCTCGTCAGTTTATTACATTGGTTTTGTAATTCTCTTCTGTTCACACTCTCTATATTTTACTTCAATCTCATCACTTTCTTTGAAGTCATAACCTTATTTACTTTTAAACTAACTGATCTCAACTCATGTTATTCTTAATTTTAATAGTTGAGTCATTTGAAGTTAAATCACCATGGAAAACCTGGAAGCATTGGACGGCCATTTCGTTATGTTGTGGGACTCCTCAGCAATGCCCATCCACGATCCCACCTCGCCAGATTTGAACCTAGGACCTATCGGTCTCGCGTGCGAAGGCTTACATGCTAGACCACTGAGCCGGCATTCAACGTTGTTTCTGTCCAACTTCAACCAATCCACGAAACTGAAATTCAATTGACTCATGAACTCAACTATTAAATTACTATAATATGAACACAAGACGTTTCTGAGAATAATAAGTAGGTGGTATTTCATTCGCTTGATTTATAAGACCAAGTTAACAGTCTATTGTGCTCACTGTTTATAACTTTCAGTGTTAGATTAAAGTTATGTAGCTTATGGAGTTGAAGCAGTCTACTTCTAACCTTGAACTGGAACGTTTGAATTTCTTTAATCTTTATTTGTTTTGGACACTAGCATAGTTTCATCAACTCTCATTTGAATGGAATGGATCAAAGTCCATTACATAATTATGTATCCGGGATGTAATTTTTGTTGAGAATTCAAACGACATTTATAGCAATTTTACTCATGTTGTTCTTCATTGGTTGAAGTTAGACATTACCATCATTTGATGCCAGATTAGTGGACTAGAGGTTAAGCTTTCGCGCGCGAGACCGATAGGTCCTGGGTTCAAATCTGGAGGATCGAGATCGTGGATGAGCACTGCTGAGGAGTCCCGCACTAGAACGAAACAGCCATCCAATGCTCCCTGGTTTTTCATGGTGGACTAGCTTCAATTGACTCGTGAATTCAACTATAAAATTACTAAAATTTCTGATGATGATAAATATATTTATTGTGAGGCAGTAAAATCATAAGACTTGTTTAAATTGAGAAGATCTGTTTAATTTTATTTCATAATTTATTTTCCTCATAGCCTACCCTTGAAAGTTGGACTGAAAGACTAGAAGAAATCAGTAGTGATAGAAGTTTCAAATGTCCTACGATCAATATGGCAACTGCAGTAACTAATGATTATCGTATACCAGGTCGACGTCGTGCTCATACGCTTCCTGTATATTTTTATGAATTTCAACATAGAACACTTTCATTACCAATGCCTAAATGGACTGGTACAATGCATGGTTATGAAATTGAATATGTTTTTGGTATTCCATTTAGTCCTCAGTTTCAAGCTAGCTTTTATCGATTCACTGATGAAGAACGTCAACTCAGTGATATTATGATGACGTATTGGGCTAACTTTGCACGCACAGGGTAAGTTGATTCGAAGAACTATGTTTGCTTATTGAAAAAGTTCAGGACTAAATTTCATTTAACAAAACTTTACTTTGATTAAGATATACACTATGTGGTGGTTGGAGGTAGTCAACAAGAAACCCTGGACTTAGGTTTTTTGTTATTTAGAACCCGTTTCAGCAAGGCATACATGTAATCTTGAGGGAACTGATGCTTCTTGATGGATTCGATCCCGTGTCACTCGGCTTCACAACATAGAGCATGCGATGTCGCGCCACCTAGCCTAGTGGCTACGTTGCAGTTTGATCAATAGAATTCAACCTACACTAAGAAGGACATAACACACAAAACGTTAGTCACTACCTAGGGATCAATCAATTGTAAAGATGTGCACTCTTGATACATGAAGTTTTTTCAATTTTAGCCCTCCAGTAATGTTTATGTTCCACTTATTTCCTGACTATACTACCATTTCTATTTCCTTAATATATTCTGAGGATCATTTTCGCTTAAAAAACTGTCAACTTGTGCATGTTTCCACATTGAATGACTAGTTTGAATACAAATATCGAAGCAGAGTATTTGCTTAAACTATTGTAAAATCAGTAGTAAACAACTATATTGTTTCGCCGTACACTGTCATTATTGCAATACTCACATCGGTTGGTTGACTAATATTTTAGCTAAAATCTGGAAACTGGACGTAATCCCATCTGATTGGTCGTAATCATTCATTGTCCCAATATATATAGGAGAGGGTCAAAATCATCCTGCGACAACCATAGAGGGATTAGTTTAACCAAAATAGCATCTAAAATACTGGCCTCAATGATGATCGGACACCTAACAAAGACTCATGAACTGCAAACATGAGAAAATCAGACTGGCTTCAGACCTGGTCGTGGCTGCATCGACCGCATATTCACCATTTGTCAGATCTTAGAACACAGGCATGCTTATCAGCGCCCGACAATGATAGTTTTTCTTGACTTAAAAGCAGCATTTGGCTCTGTAGACCGATAGGTTTTTTAGTAGTGTCTATCATTCAAAAGGTTTGAATTTTTTTCTGGCTAACGTTTTTTAGTGAGTTATTTTTCTACAGGGTGGGGTCGCCAACCCCACGCCCAACTCTCCTTTATCCGGGCTTGGAATCGGCAGTAGCCCCCGGGGGGACTCTAGGCGGAGTTTTGGGTAGCATTATTGATGAACATGGTGGATCTGATGCGGATGTGAAAGCGCGGATCGGTAAAGCAAGAGTAGTATATTTACAACTGAGGAACATCTGGAACTCAAAACAACTGTCTGTCAACCAACACCAAGGTCAGGATTTTCAATACAAATGTCAGGAGAGTTCTACTATATGAGGCGGAAACCTGGACAACTACGAAAGCCATCATCCAGAAGATACAAGTGCTCATTAACAGCTGTCTACGCAAAATACTTCGGATCCATTGGCCGGACACTAATAGCAACAACCAACTGTAGGAGAGAACAAACCATATCCCAGCGGAGAAAGAAATTAGGAAGAAGCGCTGGAAATGGATAGGACACACATTGAGGAAAGCACCCAACTGTGTCACAAGACAAGCTCTCATATGGAATTTTCAAGGCCAAAGTAAAAGAGAAAGACCAAAGAACACATTACGCCGGGAAATAGAGATAGACATGAGAAAAATGAACAAGAATTGGATGGAACTAGAAAAGAAGGCTCAGGACAGAGTGTGTTATAGAATGCTGGTCGGCGGCCTATGCTCCATTAGAAGTAACAGGCGTAAGTAAGTAAGTAACCATTCAAAGGTGTACATAAACCTTATAAAGGCTCTTTACTCGAACACTAACAGTCGAGTCAGAGTCTATAGCAAAAGGTCATCTGATTTCGCAACCTTAAGTGGTGTTCGGCTACGCTGTCCACTACCTCCAATTTTGTCTAACTTCATCATAGGCCTGCTGCTGAAAATAGTGCTCTTGTCGAGTGAATTTTCGGGCTGTCTGATCAGCCGCAATAGGTTGGTGTGTGGTGAAATCTCTTCATGGATTCAGAAAGCTCACTTGGCTCTTACCAACTTACGTCACCTCTGGTAAAAGTGAGATATTCATCTATCAATTAAGGGATGATTGTACTGCGCGGCAGTTTGTTCTGTTCTTCTTTCCGGATACGACACCTGGCCATTAAGAGTAGAAGATACTCGCAAGCCACTAGTATTTGACCACATATGCCTTAGAAATATTGCTCCCATCTGCTGGCATCACTAAGCAAGTAATAGTGAGGTTAGATTCAGACTTGAGGTTGTAAATCTTCATCGACTGAGATGGTTGAGCCACGTGTTACGTATGCCTGAACACCGATTACCACGTCGTGCAATGGTAACGGGTGTTAGAGATGGTTGGAAGAGAATTAGGGGCGGCCAAACCAAAACGTGGCATCAGTGCTTGAAGACACTAACCGCTAGTCTAAGCCATGTTGGTAGATGCAGACCATCGTAACCAATGGTTGGAGACCCTGTGAGACATGGTTCAGAATCGATCACAATAGCGTCGGTGTATACACTCTTTGTGTTCCCTTAAACCGTCAGATTAAAATGACACACCTTTATGCTTACGAACTAGTTCTTTCTCCATGTATCATATCGTTATGTACAATCTTCCTTTTATATCTTACTACCACTGAAGTAATTACTTCTATGAATTTGGTGTTCATCTTGCTGTGCTAATGTGGTATGGCAACTTTGATCAATTCATTTATGTTCCTTGTCCCACGTGGTATCTGATGCTCATTTTCGTAAATCTACATCCTCATTTTATGTAATTTAATAGTTAACCCATATTAGTTTTTATTTTATTTCGAAAGCAATAGTTTTGTTGCAGTTTCATAAGCGGACCTCATATTGTCGGCTTTCAATAATTGGTATTAAATTTTTGTTTAAAGGGATCCTAATATTTTACCAGATGGTCGACACGTGACTGATAATGTAAATCCAGAAGATCCAGATGAAATAACTGGAGGTGAGTTAGAAGATTCACTGAATCATAAACAAGGGCGTAAAAATCCATTCATTGGATGGCCTGAATTTCGAAATAGTACAAAGGCCTACATCGTTTTTCGTTCAGCTCCGGCAAACCTTCTCGTTAGCACAAGACCACGTCACCGTCAATGCTTGTTTTGGCGTCGTTGGTATCCGGCGTTACTACAACAAGGTGATTTAGTTATTAAAGTATTCTATTTATCTCTATAGTACTATTTAATTGTTCTTACAATATTCGAGTCTTAAAATATCAGAATTACATATAATTTAGTTGGAAATTATGCTGAAGACATATTAGTATAGTATGACAAGGATGTAAATAAATTTAACTGACTGAACATTGTAAATATAGAGCTTGTGTGAAAGAACACTCTACAAAATCGATTGTGATAAGTGTTAAAACGGTTAGAAACAAGTGATTACATAATGAGTCAACATTGATATGTATAAAATGAGTAGAACTCAGTTAATAAAATAAGATTACTTACTTACTTATGCATGATACTACTAATGAAGCATAGAAATCTGGAAGATAGTTGAAATAAAACTCAATGATGCAACAAATGCAAGAAAGAGTTAAAGAAAGAAGTTTAAGATTCAACGACGGAATATTTGTCACCAAGGCAAGGAATGATTGATAACCGTCTCCTTATGAACACATAAATCAGGTTTTTGATATCTGATAGTAAGGGCTTCAGCAAAACTTCAGAAGACTGTAATTTGATTGTTTATTAACTGCCATGAAAGTTTGCAAGGTATCGACCTGATATTCTATATCCAAGAGATGTTTGTTGATTGCATTGTTTAGAGTCTTTCTTTCTTTTGTTTTGGGGCTTTTTGGGATATGCTCAAAAAATTTAAAATATGCTCTTCTTTCTGTTTGGTCAATGTAGCTTCTTTGTCAGGTACATGTAAATTTATAAACACAGTTGGCGGTAATATGAAAGGGGTGCTTGTCGACCTTTGATTGGGTTATTGTTGTTTTATACAGAATTAATAGTTCGGCTGCGGGATAAGTTCTGGTTAGTGCAGTATTCAGTTTCCTGCTGATTGTGTTTACGACATTATCACTTTTGAAGTTGAGATTCACAGATATGGGTTTTTATTGACCATAACCACTTCTGTCCTATTTTCTTTAGGTTTTTATATTCATCATCACGTTTATGTCGGTAGCAGTTGTTTCTTAGACATTTTTCAACGTTGATCAATTCTTCCAGTTTGTTGGTGGTACATATCCTTTTTACCTCATAAGATAGTGTTTTGACCAGTGTCTTTTTGTAACTGACTGAACAAAAACAATTGAAATCCAGATACTTTTTTTGACCAACCAACCGTTGAACTGTCTCGTCTCCTCTACGTTTTATGGCAATAACAAGAAAGTGGAACATGTCATTCTATTTGTGTTCCATCCAGTGCTTCCAGTTTTTCCATGTTGGTGTATCTTCAATTAACTCATGATCTCAACTATAGAAATTGCTATAATATGCACAAATCCCCTCTCTTATTATCTACATATGATAATCAATTTAACCTATCAATCTTGATTTTGATTGGTTGTTGTTGACCTTTGACTTGTCATGGTTTGGATATTGATTTGTTCAGGTTCCAATTGCTCACAGAATATTTTGAGTTTAAAATTGTTTTCAATAACTTTATCATCAGATTCTGTATCACTAAGTCCATAATTATTGTGCAAACTACGAAATTTAACAAACTGCATTTGACTATTTATACAGACCATTGTAGCGAATGAATAAACATTTACCTGACGTGATATTAATACATCATATTCTAAACACCAAACATTCGAAACTGTATCACATAGTATTTTATGATAATAACAACATCAACTGAGTGATATAACATTGTATATCATCTACTTGGATTCCCATGCGGTCAAACCACACTACTAAATTGTTCATTTCATATATTAAAGATTCTAGACGTTATTCAGTTTCCATGAGAACAAGTAAGATGGTAAATTACTCAGTTTTTGTGTGAATACCTCTACAGTACTGTGAATGGCTAGGATTAACGTAGCTCATCTGATTGTTTAATTTCGCTAGTAGAAGCTAATGATAACCTATACATTGTTTATCAATATAATATCCATTCACATTATTATATTTTTTCTGTCATTAATTTTCAGTTGAGCGCAATCGCCAGCATTGTTTAGGTGTGTAAAATTCAATACACTGGTGAATTACTAACTACAGGTATCATCTAATATCAACAGAGATGAAAATGAATAACAGTTAACAAGTGTTTCGTAAGAATATTAAATATAATAATTGATTAGTATATCATAAATTGAGTGTGTTTTTTGTACTGCTACTGCTCAGGAAAATGATTAAACCTTGCTAAACAAATATTACTTACTTAATTACGCGTGTTACTCCTCGTAGAGGAGTATAGGCTGCCTACCAGCACTCTTCATCAAACCCTGCCATGGGCTATCTTTTCCAGTTGTTACTCATCCTTTTCATATCTGCCTCTATTTCCCGACGTAATGTGTTCTTTGGCCTTCCTCTTTTTCGCTTCCCTTCAGGATTCTAAGATAGGGCTTGTCTTGTGGTGCAGTTTGGTGATTTCGGTAATGCATGTCCTATCCACCAACTCCATCGTCTTTTCCTAATTTGGTTTGTCCTCTCCCACATAAGGCTGTTGCTGATTGTATCCGGCCAAAGGATGTTGAGTATCTTGCATAGACAACTATTTATAAATATTGTATTCAATCTGAAGCTTATTATGTTTAGTTGATAATTGTCCACTATCTTAATTATACGAGTAGGATCATTTCAAAATTGTATGAACTAGACTCTGTGCTTAAGGTTAAATAAATAAGAAAGTTATTATTAAAAGAAATTAGCGTCCTAAGTATTAAAAGGAATACATATCAGTTTTAGATATGTCTTGCAAGTAGTTCCCTAAATCCTTCCAAAGCCCCTCTTGGGTTACTGCCGCTTCCAAGCCCGGATAAAAAAGTAGGGTTGGGCATGGGGTTAGCGACCCCATCCCGTAGAAATTTAACTCGCTAAAAACACACTAACCAGAAAAAAATAATTCAACAAGTATCAGAAGGGGCTTTGTGGAGATTGTAGTAATTTCAACAGCTAGACCATGTTCTAGATTCAATAAGTATTTCCCAGGTATTTCTGTTGATTTTATCCGTTACTGTGGTGTTTGTGATAATTGGTTAAATTAAGCAGTAAAATCAATGTATACCTTCAAACTTTAGTTTTCACGACATGAATAATTGTTTAAACATTTTTTACGGCAAACTACTGTATTAAACAATAGAATAATGATGCCATCAGAGATATGATTTCTTGATTAATAACAGCTGGAATCTAGTGTCTATATGGATGTTTATTGTTATGAAGGTTTCCATACAGCTTAATTTGAAATGTATCACTTTTAGTAGCTGAACATCCTTAAAATATGGTGATGGAAACAAATTAGTTGTTGACCTGATCCTCAGAGTAATGATAAAGTCGACGGATTACATGGAGTCTTAGATAAAGATAATTGTGATTTAATCACATATGACACTGGTTACCAAGTTAAAAATTAATAATACACTCTCTCAATATCTTATTTTGGAGAAGCAATCTATATGGCATCCAATGAAAAGGACGGTTACTAAACGGAGGAATGGGACGGCTAGCGATTATACAGGGGGAACATCAATAAAGATAACCATCAAAAATGTGCATATTGCTGGGGGTGAACATCAAAAGACAATGTAGTAGTAAATAAATCCCCAAAATAAATAGCTCTGTAAGTCTTTGATATTGGATGCTGATCACATTAGTTTTAATGGACTCACCTATCTGAAGGCGCTCGGTTATGCATCCGCACCAGATCACGAGTAGGAACGTCGTGATCAACATCCCCTGCAATATCTAGCCAGTTTAGATCAGTCGATCCTATATATATCGATGACCTATCAAATATATCTTCGAACCCTGTCGCTTCTGACTTTTGATTTCACTTGATGGGTACGGTGTTACTAGTCAAAGCGTTGTCAAACTACAAATACCTGTAACATCTTCAACAGAATCAAATTTTTAGTGACGTAAAATCAGATTCCTTTGTTCTTTATCCCTTTGCCTTTGAGATCAATCAGGAATTCAGTTCACTAAACATCTAATAAGCATCCCTTATTACTTCCCTACGCCAGTCAACCCTCATGGAGGAGCATAGGCCATCGACCAGAATTCTCCATATAAATACCTGTGCTTTTTTGATGACGGTTGTAGTAGTTGTTGAAGTTTCAGCTTTGTACAGTAGAGCTATCTCGACGTTCGTATTGAAGATTATGACTTTGATATTGGTTGACAGTTGTTGTAAGTTCTATATGCCGTTCAACTAGAGCAATACTGCCCTCACTTTGCCAATCCTCACCTTTACGTCTTCATCAAATCCTTTTCGTTCATCTATGATGAAAGATTCCAAATCATCTTCATCAAGTGTGATTGGTTTGTTAGGTGTTCTCTGTGTTGTATTTGAGGATGTCAGTTTTTCTCTTGTGTACGCTGAGGACCACTGAAGCAGAGGCTTCTGCTACACTAATTATCTTTGTCTGCATTTGTTGGTATCTATGGGATAGAAGGGTCAGTTCATCTGCGAATTCATTCCGAGCTGTTCATTGTGTTCCGTGCATCCCATCACGTGTGAGGGCCTTCATAATCTAGTTAACCAACATACGAGAGGGAGACGGAGAGAGAGAGCAGCCCTATATGACACCAGTTGTCAGTTGGAATGCGTCTGTCACCTGCCATCCATGTACGACTTTGTAGTGTAGCCCGTTGTAAGAAATCCGTATGATGTCGATGATCTCCTCAGTTACTCACTCCATAGTGTCAAAGTCGGTTCCATAAGGTTCTCCTACCCATGCCGTCGTTTGATTTCTCATAGCCAAGGAAGGTGATTTATAGTGCAACGTTCCATATAATTGATTGCCCAACAATGATCTATAGTTTCGCGATTTGGCGTGTGCTCGCCTGGTCCTCACAGAATCCAACTTGTTGAACTCGGAGTTGAGCGTCTACTGAATTTTCCATTCGGTTCAGCAACACTGTTGAGAACTTATCCTGATACCGATAGTAGTGTGATTCCTCTGTAGTTTTCACATTAGCTGATATCTCCAGTTAGTTGGCACTTGCTCTTTCTCCCAAATGTTCCTGAATGGAGAGCAGAGCATGTTTGCAGTTACTTCTATGTGTGACTTCAGTACTTCAAGTGGCATATTTTCAGTTCGTGCTGCTTTCCCACTATTGATTTGTCTGATGACGGGCCATTCTGGTCTCTTCGTTCGTTTGTGTAGTGACAACTATAGGAGGGTCTGTGTGTGATGCTTCGATGTCCGTTGGGTTAAGTGGGACGGGTCTACTCAAGAGTTCCTCGAAGTATTCTACCCATCTGTTCTTGAATCTCTGTGATGGTCTTATCCCTTTTATCCTTGACCGGTCGCTCTGGTTTACTATATTTCCCTGTCAGTTTCTTCGTCTTGTCATATAGTTGTTTCATATTTCCTCCTGTTGTGACTTTTTCCCTCGTCGTTGCTAGGTCTTCCATATATCTTTGTTTATCAGCTCCAATGTTCCTCTTCACTTACTTGTTGCTTCTGTGTATTCAGTTTGTGCCTTGACTTTCTCTGTTGTCAGTTTCTGTCTTCTTGTCCTTCCTTTCTTGAATCTTGTTGAGGGTTTTGATGGAGATGTATTCCTTATGGTGATGCTTGTTGCGACCTAGCATGTCCTGACACGTTGATGTTAACGCCTCTGTGATCCCTTTCCAATTGTCCTCCATAGTATTTTCTTCTTCTTTGAGTAAATCTTGTACGGCTTGAAACCTGTTGTTGAGAGTTATCTTGAATTGGTTGAGTTTGTCAGTATATCGAAGGAAGTCTGTATTGAACTTTTAGAGTACTATTTCTCCAGTTGTCCAGTGTTTCTCTAGCATCAGTTTTCTTCTTGGCAACCACCAGGTAGATGGTGATCTGAAGCTATGTCAGTTCCTCTCCAGGTTCTCACGTTCTCCATTGACCTTGTGAATATTTTAATGATGCAAATATGATCGAGTTGGTTTTGTGTGGTATAATCCAGTGAGACACACGCAACTTTTTGTATGTGTTTGTGGAGAAATATAGTAGTACCACCTATGATCATTTTTTTGAATGCATACTAATTTGCAAATCTGTCACCATTCTCGTTCGTTTCTCCCAATCAGTCAGTGTCGTTCCACGATATCTGGATACTCGGTGTTGTCCACTCCGAATTTAACGTTTAGGTCTCCCATCATGTCCTTCCCTGCACACATGGCTACGATTGATTGTAGCCTCTCATAGAACTGATCTTTATCATCATCATTGCTATCATTGGTTGGTGCATAACATTGGATAACATTGTGACTCCCTCCTTACTTTCTTTTGAAAGATGCGTTGATTATTCCGGGTTGATAAGGTTTTCATCCTGTGAGTGCTCCATATGCTTCTTTGTACATTATCAGAGCAAGTTTCTGAGTGTGTAAAGCATTTCCTTCTTCGTAACCAGAGTGCAGCAGCAGCTCTCCTGAATCTAACCTTTACTGTGCAGATTTGGTTTTCATTGATTCCGTGAACATTCATGTTGTATCTCCGCATTTCCTTAATTATTAGATCAGTCCTTCCAGTCTCGCACATTGTCCGAACATTTCAATTATCTATGTTAACCGTTGCTGTTGTTGCTAGAATGGACATTGACCTCGTGGCTTTCGAAGAATCTTGACTTTCACCATGAGGTGTCATAATTCTTCTGAATGAAGATCCTTCAACTCCTAATGAAGAATTTAAATAGTTTAATTTGTTCCTGTCGTTCGGCACTTTCGGCAAGTTTGTTTTCCGCGTAATAGTATTGCTGACTCTGTGCCAGACCCTCCTCTTTTTCTCGAGCTTAGAACCGGTGTATCACTAGAAGGGCTGCAGTTGAAGTTGCAGATTTTGAAAGTTACTAAATATTGATTTTCCTATATTTTGGTGAACGAAGTGTCAATTCGTCACCTTGTTCATGTCATATTTAATCATGTTTTCTTCAATAGATGATGGTAGCTGTGCTCACTAAAGACTAAAACTTTTGTTGTTATTAGGTTTTTATTTCTTGACCCTTTCATTGGCTTTCTCAGACCGCCTCGAAATTGTCGTTAGATTGTTGTATTATGGTTATTTTTGGACGAGATATTGCATCTGTTGCCTGGTTTTCCTGACTTTTGGCATGTCGGGTATCACAGGTGAACTGTGATGTACATTCCATGTGTCGGACCTACATAGGAGAATATTTATCGGCTCTAGCTTTCAGTGCGTT